ACCCCACCCCAACCCCATCCCCACCCCATCCAAAGCGTAGCATCAAGTCCGTGTGCAACTTCATTCGAACGTTAACATCACCCTACCCCACCCCACCCCACCCCATGCACGCATGACATGCAAGTGAAGATCACGCAGAGAAAACAGCGTTTTCTCCTGGGGTCGCTAACAGTGGCGCTAGCTAAAACAAGGACCCGTGGCGGAAGGAGGGATGGAGAAACAGGCTGGTATAGAGATAGGAAGTCATTTTTTCGCGAGTTTGGAAGGTGGTCTTCGGTTTTTCATACCGGTTCCAAATAGCGATGCCAGTCTAAATGAATCATACGACTTGTTTGAGATCATTTATACATAAGATTTTGACAAAAGTGCCCGAGATGCTTCGAGTCCCTGTCACGTCCCCCGTTTTGATTGGGCAAAGCTAACCATGGGAAGGTTTATTTCAGAATAGAATGCGGTGTAACGACACCATGGGAAGAAGCAACAAAAGCTATCCCAAACCACGTGCGCCAGATTAAGAACTATAGAAATAATCTGAACAGGTCCATCAAACGGAGCTCCACGAATCCCAACCCTACAACATCCCGCCCAAAGAGAACTAAACACAAACATCAAAAGGATGGAACAGGATGATACAGGATGTATATAGTCCGCTCTGCCCGCTGATCGGCAATGGCTTTCGAAGGCTTTGACCTCGATTTATTTCGTCGTCCCAGGTCTCTGAACTCCAACGTTGTGAGGCATCTCCCCAATGGCTTCAACACTGCGCGTCCTAGGCTGAGCGCAGCACCGTACTGCGGAGACCGGTTCACGTGCCCATTGGCGCCGTGGTGGACCATGAAACACCACCCTTACAAGGATGTTGCCCTTTTGAGTCTATAGTCTGAAGATATGTGCGAAGACTGGGATAAAGATGCAGAATGCGACAGCAAATGCTTTTCTCGTTTGGGTTAAGCCTTTGCGTGCATGTGCGGGTGCTTCAGACCTGCACCCTGGCAAAGCATCTGAAGGCCTGCATTACAGGCAAAGCCTCTCATTTCTGAATGCCTTCTCAGGATGGACAGCTGTAGATCGGCAGACTAGAAAGGTGCTTGAGCTAGCTTGGCCTGCTGCAACCTTCCACATATACAGTCATCCATTCCTGAGATAATTAGTCATTCCTTGAATCGCTTTTGGTCCCAGGTTGCTTTGTGTGCTTTTAGTTATTCATGTGTGGGGCATGCAGCATGTAGTTTTTTGTATGTTGACCACGTTTGTGCCCCAGTGGAGGAGGCTCCGGCATCGACCCTGCGATCGCCAGGAGGACATTTGGGAGGCCAAAGAAGAGCTTTCGAACAATGAGGAGGTGAGTGATTTGGCGCAGGCCGTGTCTGTGGGAAGTTCCCATGGGAAGTGGGCATTGGCTCCTCAAAAAAAAGCTTCCCTTTACATCCCTTTACAGTTTACAAATCGGTAGCTGGTAGCTTTGTGAGTCGCAGGTGGTTTCCAGTTTCAGGAACCTGGAGGGACAAGAATGGGAGCATTGTATTTGCCGCATTTTCAGGGGTTTGATTTCAAGTTAGTGTCCTTTAGATTATATGTAAGCAAACATATATATGTTATGTTATATGTACCTACGTTTGTTCAACGGGGGGGCTTGCTCAATGCCACAGCTATTTACGTGGGGGCACAGAGTTTGAGAGCGTGGCACCGGGAAGAGAAGGGTGAGAGATTGTTCAACTGTAAGTGAAATGGACAAATTGACAAATTAATTGCCGAATTCCATGGACAAATGGAATTTCCATGGACAAATTATATAATTGCCGAATGGATGGGTCAACTGGGTATGTGAATGATTTGCCGCATGGATTGCATGACTCACCGCTAGGTGCTTTCACTGTGAGTAGCGATCGCAACGCGAGCTGTTGATTTGCACTGAGTTCAGGTGGCGCATACGGCGAATGCAGATTCAGATTCTGAAGAGGTTGGACAATTGGTCCGGCAGAGCTTTGTCCACTTAGGCCCCAGCCACAAACAGTTCATTGTTTGTTTTGCACTGGTGCCACGAGGTGCCACACGAGAAAACACACATGGACCCATAGACAGTAGAGCTTGGTCAGCTTGGCTTTTTCATTCTTTCCCTGCGCCAGGAAACGGAGAAAGCTTTGGCGGAACAGTTCAAGACTTTGCTCTTGAACTCTTCAGAGGTGCCACTGTTTTGTATACAAACTCTTTGATCGTTGCTAATGACTTGCACCAGCCGTGCAATGGCGTCACACCCTGCAGTGAGGCCATCGATGTGTTGGAGGCTGCTGTCTTCCGACATACGCTCTGGCAAGGGATACAAAGGCCGGAACACCACCCCGCGTGGGCCTACTGTTCTCGAGGGAGAACTGCTGAAGGATGCTGAAGGTGACCAGCAGAAACCCTCCAAAATCAAGCGCATCTCTTGCTGGCTGGGTGGTGGATAGTGTTACTCACTGGTGGAGTGCAAGGTTGGCGCAGCATGTGGTACATTGTTACTGTAGTACCCTGGTTGTTGATCGAATTGTTTCGACGCATTTGCCAGCTGCACACTCCCTTTCCAACCCCGGGCATGTTTGTTTTGGAATACATAAATGGATATTGATATATATATATATACATAATATGCACATATGCATGATGCATGATGATGCATGTATTAAATGATTTCGTGTGTGGCAAGAGGCTTTCCTTTGTGAACGGTAGAAAGGTTTGACTGGTCGACGTTGCCTTCCACTGTCATGCAACTGCTGTGTGCAAACAAGAGCCCTTCAGAATCACCAGTTGGCGATGTCATCCCAGCATCCCAGCCAGCAATCAAGAATCAGGGGACCAGCAAAGCGATTTGGCAGTCTTGTCCGCAGCAGTCCGCCGCGGCAGGAGCTCGTGGACTGCGGCAAAGAGCTCAACCTATCAGTGATTTTGCCGTGAGTTCCAGACAGATGTCCGTTGATAGCCTTGGTGGAATTGGATGGAGACCGTTGCTTCCAGGCCGAGCCAGCGGAAGCGGAAGCAGTGATGACAGCCAAAAAGGAGGAGGAGGAGGAGACGGCTCACCAAAAAGATGGAGTTGCCAAAAAATCTTCCAGAAATCCCGTGTCCGACCTTGGGTCATTGATGGGTGCAACCGTTATGATCCAGAGCAATCCAAAGCTGAGTTTTCCCCAACATCGGTTTCGTGCTTGTGCAGGAGGTACCCTGGGAGAGCACAGAGTAGTGCAACGACCGAAAAAGTCTCGGAGTTGAGAGATTCAACAACCTTGCACAGTCTTACTCAGCATATCTCAGCATGCGTGGGTTGAATGTGTTGAGTGTTCCTTTCTTATTTTGCGGGGGGGGGGTGGGGCGGCGTTTAAATTCAAGAGATGATCGATGTGAATGGCCCAAATTCAGCTGTTGCTATGTGGACTCACCTTGAGTCCGAAGACCCTCGGCTGCATAGATTCAGAACATTCAAAATTGATGTCATCCTGCTGCCAAGTTCCAACTGTTCAGAAGTGCAGCGGGATCAGGACTTTTCATGACCAAGCGGGTCGTCGTTGCATCTGGCTACTTCAACCCGCTCCACTATGGGCATGTGTCGTATTTGGAGAAGGCAAGATACCTTGCAAACAGTCGAGTTGCAGGAAATCGCAAGTCACAAAGAGTTCGTTTGATGCCGGAATCCTTGTTTTGGCGCGAAGGAAGGGTTTGTTTCGTCATTGTGCACAGGCACGGGATTTGGGAACCAGTTTGATTGTCATCGTGAACAATGATTTCCAAGCTGCAACATGGCTGGAGTCTTTGAATGGTGATGTTGAAGATTGAATGACTCTTGAGACAGAAAATCATTGCATTTTGAATTATTTTCCTCCATGAATTTGGTTGTTTTCAGCTGAGCAACCATTTTTTTTGGTTTTTAAAGTAGTCTACGGAATGCTATATTTGTTTGTCCAAAGTCAGTAGTCGCTGGTGAACGAGGCAGGGCCCCATCATAAACGATATATTGCCCCCCACAAAATAAATCGATGGATGGTATACTTGAGTTTAGTAACAAATAAATGCCGCTCGGCTGAATGTTTTTGCCACAACATTCCCTTGACGCTGGTATCATTAGAGAAAGAGAGAGGGGGAGAGGAAGATGCATAAATTAATGGCATGATACAGCTCCAAAATGGGTACCCATAATGGCATCGGGGTCCCCTCCCGGAGTTCCAGTTCTTCAAGACAAGGTTGGACTGAAACACTGCTTCTCAGTCCGAGCGATTTCGCCACATCACTGAGGCGAAGCATCGACCAGGCGGTATGAAATTGCCGGCCAGGGAACGGGTGAAACTGGTCCGATCCCTGCACCCTGGACTGCATCGGTCGCATGCCGCCAAGTAGTAGTGTGTTTCAAAAACAGGCGGGGGACCACATTCGAAAATCACCGATTCACCAAAACACAGAAGCAGAATCCTATGAAGTCCAAAACAGGGGGCCGCATGAACTCCTTTCTGTGGGGGACGTGGAACCCCAACACGGAATCCATGTTTGGTCGTGTTCCGAACATCGACGATCTTCTGGTTGGAGCCGAGGCAATGCGTCGACGCTGCAGTGGAGGCCATTGATGACGATGAGTCGGTGGCAGAGACCTTGAGACGCATGGCGTGGCAAAGGGGTTTTGTTTTGGCCCATCCGTGTGGGATGCATCAAACAGAGAGAGGGAGATATATATAATTATATATATATATATAGTCAAAGTAGAAGTTTAACTTCGTATTTATGAAATACCAAGTTCCACCCAATGAAACATCGTATTTGTCAAAGGCTATGTTTCACCCCTAGGCTCAGCTATGCTTGTGTCCTGACGCTCCCAATTGTCCTGGTGACCGTAAAACACTGCCAGAAAGCCCATTTGGGACCATAGACACGAGTTTGAACCCTGCTCCTATTTCTTGCGCACATCAATTTTTCCTGTCGACATTTACAAAGGCGACCACAGAATACTGGCGCACGGTCTCCCACAAACCCAGGTCCTCAGAATAATGTGTCCACCTTGTTTTGTTCCCTGTTCAGGCCTAGGATCATAAATGGAAATTCAATTAAGCCACACCTCCCTGCAAGAGAGACGAATCATTCTGAAGTGAAGATCGCAAGACTTCCTCTTCTAATGCGAGAATCACCCAATCAACGCGTTGCCAGGATTTCTTTTGCAGAAGCAATCATGACTGCCAGGCTTTTGAATCTATCCTCCCCCAAGTGCCGGATCAAAATCAGTCGCGTGAAATTGTGTGAAATCGTGTGAAATGTGCGTGAAGTACTAAGTTTCTGCGTGAAATACAAAGTTTTCGCGTGAACGTTGGCCCCCACTATTGTCTGCCCTAGTCCGGCAGCAGCCGGTCACATCCCTTCACATCCCAGCCTTGGTCCATGACCCGACAACAACCCTGATTCCATCTAGTTCCCCATCCTGTGGGTTGATTGTGTGTACCAAACACTCTGCTGTAACACTTTAGTTTTGCATGTCCAATCATATCTATACATTCTTCGCGTGTTAGTGCACAAGAGCAGTCAAATTCCGACTATGCACCCTTGCATTTTGTTTTTCTCTTGGACCAGCTAGTTTCTCCTTGTAGGCTTTTGGTATCGGTGAGGTGCATCTGCAGTATGAATGAGTGATAAAAGCCCCATGGTGAGAACATGCGGTGAACATGAATAGGAAAAGGTAGGGCTACTGCCTGCCAGAACATAAAACCCATGAATAATGAGGCTGTTTGAGAGACGGCTGACAAACGTAATTTGTACGAAAACATCGTGTGAAACGAAGGACCATGACATGAGCCCTGAACCGGTTGTCGCCTCCGCCGCCGTTTGACCCCAACTCCTTGAGCCGCTTTCGAGCGAAAGTCCGCATCCGCTGCGCCATACCGCAGTTCTTCAGTGGTAGCGGAGCCATGGTGACGATCCTGGCTCCGGTCGACTTCCTTCCGACCGGGTGACGCCCCGGCGCTTGAGAAGGCTTCATCCTGATCCTTGTGAAGGCCCTCTTCACCTTCGACGGAAACTTCACCCTGCGAGTCGACCGGACTCAGGTTTTCTTCCTTTCTTCAGGTCTACGACCTACCTCATCGCCTTCAAGGTGATCTTCTACCTGACCTACCTCCGTTGGTAGGAGTTTGGGCTGCCAATGGCGCGACCACCGCGGACCTGGACTGGCCGGACTACATCATCGACTCCTCCGGCTACCTCCTCAGCGGCTGCTGCGGCTCCCGCGCCAGCGACTACGCCAGACGCTGGTCATGAACATGAACGACCTTCTGAAGGCCTTCCATTACACGATGTTGGACCTCCTGAACTTCCTGAGCTACCTGATCCTTTCGCGGATGAGGATCCGTGGAAGAGGACTTCAAGAAGAAGTACCCCAAAGGCAACTGGCACGCCTAAGGCGGCAAGTGAGAAAGCTCAGCCCTCAGAACGTCGTCATGTCGACTACCGCATGGACCCTGCACCTGTTTGGGGAGGAGAACTCCCGGAGAAAAATTACAAAGACTACCATCGCAAGCTTCGTTTGTGGATGGTTGAGGCCGAAACCAGGATTCCCGCCAACCTCATTGGCAAGCGCATCATCGACTCCGTGCCGCTCGGTTCAAAGCTCAGCGCTTTACTTGGCCACCTGACGGTGGATGAGATCTGTGCGGATGATGGTCACCGCACGATCGTGAAGATCATCGAAGAGGCCCATGAATATCTTCGAGATCAAAGCCTTGAGCAGGCTTTCGATGATGCCATCTTCAAAGGGCGTCGAGACCGAGGCACCAGCATGACCTCGTTCTTGACTGGAAAGAAAGCTGCCTTCGCCGAGCTCAAGAAGAGGGGCTTGTACTTGTTGGAGACGGCAGCCGGCCGTCATTTGCTTGGACATTTGATCTTGGGGCAAGGAGCTTTCACCCAAGATCAAAGGCAGCGATTGAAAGTTGTCACGAATGGCTCCATCGACTACAAGGAGATTGAGATCGCCATCCAAAAGGTCTTTGGTGATAAGCTTGATGACCAAGGAGATCAACACGGTCATGGACATGCACCCCGACGCTGGAGAAGTGCGACCTTTTGGGATGAAGAAGGCTTTGATGATGAGCCTCTTGGGATGAAGAAGGCTTTGATGATGAGCCTGGGGAGAATCGACATGAGTTTGAAACATATGCCATGCCTGATGAGGATGACGACCTCTTCGCGGACCTCGTGTGCTTGAATGATTCCTGGGAAGCACAAATGGTGTTTCATCAGGAGTTGCCCATGGTGATGGATGAAACTGAAGCTGGACACCATTGGCAACAACATCGAAGAGATCTTCCTCGAGACCCGTGATCGACTTGCCTTCCAGAAGGGCAAGGGCAAAGGCAAAAAGGGCAAAGGCAAAGTAAAGGTTCAGCCAGAACCTATGGGCAAGGCTTGGGCACCGCCGAATGCTGCAGCAGTCTCGCATGAGTCGAGGCTATGACAGACCATGGCAGCAACGGTCTGGAAGCAAGCTTTCCATCGCCGACCTCAAGGCGAAGACTAGGTGTCACCAGTGTCGACAAGTTGGTCACTGGAGCAGAGAATGCCCCCAGCGTGGCCGCAGTCCAACGTCGAAAGCCTCAAGTGCAGCTTCGACCATGTCCACTGGCTTTTTCTTGAATCCAATGGCCGTTGAAAATGCTGGCCAGGAGTTTCTCACCAACCGCTCACCTTCTGAACGTGGTGAATACGGTGTGCAGTCATCGTTTTTGAGCTTCTGTTTTGCACTACATAGCACCAAACCTCCTGGTATTGCACTCGTTGACACAGCCGCACAGCATGGTCTTGTTGGAGAAGAAACGTTGAAACAGCATGACACTTTGTTGCAGCAGCACCACCAACTCCGAGTTCAATGGTCACATGAACCTGGTGGTATGGTTCGTGGAGTATGTGGAAGTGAGGAACATACATCACTGGCCTATGTCCCTATTGGCTTGGGTGGCAAATCTGGAATCCTCAAAGTACAAGTTGTGCCAGGTGATATTCCTTTCCTCATTCCCGCATACTTCTTGTCAGACCTCCAAGCGGTTATCGATATGAAGAATGCCACCATCTTGTACATGGCTTTGGGGGTCACGCAAAAGATGATTCGGTTACCAACTGGGCATGTTGCAGTGAGCACTGTTGAGTTTGGACCTGGTTTTACTGTGCCAGCGAATCACCGCTGCTTCCACAGCCAAGCGTGGACTTCCGACACAGCCCATTTGTCGGAGCACGCTCTTCCGCATGCCTTCGAGTTCTCCACCATGGGTCCGGTGGCGACGCTTGCTCTTACGGCTGTATGCCTACGTTGGCTTGGTGGCCAAACAGACTATGATGGAAGTGGCACGCCAACCTCAACTCCGACGAGTTCGAGAAATTCAGAAGCGCCGAGAACAGCTCGAGCAACAAGCCTGCTCGCTTGCACAGCACGAGCAATCAACCCCGGTTTGAAGCTGACTCCTCACCAGGAAGACAGGGTTCGTCCACGAGCTTGCATCCGAGGCCGCGGTCGCTACCTGGTCCCAGAGCTGGAACCCTCTCCACACTGCACTCATGGGAAGACATCCCATGGAGCGAACAAGCACTGTTCGTACCACCGCTGCGATCAGTGCGGACAGGAGCAGACCATGCCGCTGACGCCTCTTCAAGATCTGCAACACTGGAACGACACCCTGGTGTACGTCAAGTGCGCTTTCTTCGATGCAGCAACCAAGAAGCTGGAGACGAAGACCAAGAAAGCGGAAAGTGCACAAGCATCGGCCGGGAGCACATCGCCCTGAGGATCCGATATTGAAAAAAATCAATATCGCAAAAAAATTTCAATAATATTGAACTTGATTTTTTCAATCGTAGGATTGATTTTTTCAATATTGAAGATTGAAAAAATAATCAATATTTCTGATCAATATCAACCAATATCACGATCAATATCAAGACCAATATCAATGTCAAAAGGAACTCCACAGGATTCTAAACTCCACAGGAACTCCACAGGATCTCCACAGGAACTCCACAGGATCTCGACAGGATGCTAAAGTCCACAGGAACTCCACAGGATCTCCACAGGAACTCCACAGGATCTCCACGATCAATATTGACCAATATCATGATCAATATCACGATCAATATCATGATCAATATTTGAAACCAATATTGACCAATATCGACCAATATCATGACCAATATTATATTGATCACGATATTGATGTTTTTGGCTTCCAAGTTGGCCATTTTCAATATTATTGAAAAAGATTTGGGACCAATCGTAAGATTGATTTTTTTCAATATCGGATCCTCAGGGCGGCATTACCGCCTTCGGCAAAGAGTTCCTCCAAGATCTTGGCTGCCAAGAGCAAGATGACTGCAGCCAAGTCAAGACCACAGATGAAAGAAGAGACGGAGGAATGGCTGGACTGCAAGACCGACGAGGAGGACTTCCGAGCGTTCCAGGTGTTCATTGGGGACAACAAGGATGAGACCATGGACACCACGGACTACAAGGCTCTGTCAGTCCGATGCACCCTATGCCGACGGGGGACGTGCACACTCCATCATCTGACGACAGATCGGAGCTTCCCGGACCTGATTTGGAAGTGCGACTTCGACCTGTGCACGATT